CCCCAAAACCCCAAAACCCCAAAACCCCGAATGACTTATTTTTGCTTTTATTGGTAAAAATACTTTCAATAATTAATATCTCAAAAGCATTTATCATTTATGATTTTCTTATTCATCTTCTTTCCTGGCAAATTTACTGAAAACCCCAAAACTTCTTTCAATCGTATGATCAACACTCCAACCCCAAGGCAAGAACTTAGGTTCCATGGTTTTTATGAAGTGAGTCCTCCACAACTTAATGAAGTCACTCATTCGATCCTCTCCCAGTATCTTATCAACCAATATCTTTCCATGTGGATTTTATTTGTCTTTATTGCTGAGTCTAGTTGGTGGTAAATTGTAGCAAAACATTATAAACTCATTGTTAATTTCTTCTGTTTCTATTACTCCCTTAAGATCATCTGGTATAAGTGGAAGTAACTGCTCCTTTTTCTCTAAGAAAAGTTCTATAAGATTTTTCTAAAGTGTGGCTCTTTTTTCATCAGGCAGTCTAAATGATGCTTTCTTCAAAGTGCTAGCTACTCTGTTGATTTACTAGATATGAAGATTTATCAGCTTGTTAGGGTTGTGATCGTTCAGAGGAATGTTATACTTCTCAGCAAGCTGCTTCTTCAAGTTATCTTATTCTCTGCTTGCTTTCTCATGACATGTGAAGCAAAGCAAGACTACATCATGCGATCTGTGACTCTTTAGTTCATCTGGGAAGCTTTATCTATAGAGAGTAGGAATTACGTGGAATCTAGAGTAGTCTTTCTCTGAACCACAGTTCACACACTTATTTTCTCTATCAGTAACATAAAAATTGTCGTCATAAAGTTCTTCTAATGGCTTGGGTTGACCTCTGCCATTTGGTTCGAATCTTAGTTTAATTGTAAATGGATCAGATGAGATTTGATCAGCTAATTCTCTTTCAATGTACCATTGGGCTTTTTTAAAATCACAGTTGGAAAGTAGTTCGCCATCTGGGCTGAACATTTTGCAGTTTTCATAAACTACCTTCTTACAAGAATAATGCTTGATGATCTTCTTTTTTCTCTCTTCTTTTAATCTCAATCTCTCTTACTAAGAATTTAATCCTTAATTAGGCTGAGACTTATAGTGTTAGATCATGGCATCCATATTCTTTGGGAAATCGTCCAATCTCTATTAGATCTCAATACAAAAATTCTCAATCACCTGTCTAAATATAGAATTGGTCTATTTACCTGCTTCATCCAATACTTTTCTCGTTTCTATATATGATAAGGGTTTCTTTGTACTGAGCAGGTACAATGTAGAAATATCACACAATTCATCTGGGTTCTTATCCACTTACTCTGCAATATTTTCTCTAAGGTTATAAATTCCTTTGAATATGAATTCTATTTTCAAGAACTCCTCATTGTTAGGATCAAAACCGTCTACTATCTTCCTGAATTATACTTTATAAGTTTCATCAGGCTTAAATTAGTCCTATCTTAGAGCGTACTTTGCATTTACAGTTTTCTCGTTCACTTCTTTGCAAACTTCATCTAATTCTTGTAATTTGTTCTAGTTTTCAAAATTCTACTGTAGTCTCAGAGCTATGTATATTAGATAGTGAGAGTCATGAGCTGCATAGTCAAGCATTTCTTTGGTCAATGGTCTGGCACTCCAATCTGCTTGCTAAAATTAATTCTTCTAGTCCTTGGTAATCTTGACTCTATCCTTGCAATAAGTCTGCCACAAATGTAAAAGGGAAACTCTTTACCCCTTAAATAACTTTTTATAAGCCTCTTAAGTATCAAATACATTGACTGTGGCAAACCCAAAGTCTCTCTAAAGCCAAGCAATATCAGAATTTACACATCCATGAAACACTTTCAGTGTATTTGAACTTTCAAATATAGCACCTAGATAGGTCTTCACATCTTCTCTTAGTTTTAAACAATCTATCAAGTATGTTTCGTAATTAGGGGTTGTGATTTGAATGAGACATAAAAATCCATTGTAGGAATTGAGGTGATGATTTTCTAGATCAATCCCAAGTACATTATAGCGGTAGAGATTCTGTAATATTTCTTGTAGTTTATCTGCCGAGTCGATATACTAATACAATCTGGCATTAAATTCCTTAAAGGGAACCTTCTCAGTAATCTTATAGTTAAACTCCTAATCCTTATTTGTGTTGTAGTTCACTACACAAGCATTTTCAATATTGTACTTGATTTGCTAAATCTTGATTGAATGTTCATTTTATTTTGCAGGGAAATGCAGCTGAGACGATAATCTGTTAACTTTATCAGACCTTATTTGGCTTTAAATTTCTTTGGAGACTCTTCTCTTTTATAGTCTATAAATGAAAAGTAGAATGATAAGTATGCTTGGAAAAACAATGTATAGCATTTTAGTCTACAATGAATAGTATTAATGATTAATTCTAAAATTTCCTATTGTATTTGTTTTATCCAATCTCTACAAAATCATGCATTATGGGGTTTTGGGGTTTTGGGG